TCGAGCTGTGGATTTGGTAAGAGCCCAGACATCAGAATAAGCAACTCAAATGACCACCACTCAAGGCTATGATAGACTTACCAATAAAATAATAAAAAAATGAGAAAGATAAAAGGATAAGAAGAATATATTAAATATAGGAATGGTTCATAAATGAAGTTAGAAATAAGTTACCATGTCATTACTGTCGAAGGGATGGCAAAGAGAAAGAATTCTCAGATGCCTTGGAAAAGCTCCATAGAAATCGGAACCCGAATTTTCGCACAGGAAGGACAAAATCTCATGTATAATACAAGTAAAATCACATTCAACCAATAGGAAATACTTATTGCCATTGCACCTCCAAGGTTCCCCAAGCCAGACTTGAAAATCAAAACCCAACTTAGAGGAATGTGGAAACAAAGGATCACACAAGAGCTTATGAGCATAGGAAGTATCAAGCTTTGGGTTTGAAAGTATCTAATGAGTGGTTGAAGAGTTGCATAAGCAAAAAGAGAAGGAACAAGCCAAATTGTGAATCTGCCAGCTTCATGAGAAATAAGAGGGTCTTGACCAATCAAAACAAGTAACTTTCCCATGTAGATCCAAATTAGAGATATAGGAAGGCAAACCAAGAACAAAGAAAATATAGCAGTGTAAGTTTGAAGTCCAAGTTTTTGATATTGCTCAGCTCCATATGCTTGCCCACATATAGTTTCCAGTGCACCTGCCATTCCTAACTGTTTAGAAAGAGAAACATCACAGAACCCAGTCAGTCACTGGTGATTTCAGTCATATGATTTGTGTTAAGAATTAGACATCCTAATGTTATACCACCATCAGCAATAAAAACGGAGAAGAAATGCAAAAATAAGACCATACAAGATTTATGGTGATTCATTCTCAATGTAAGAGTTACGTCTATTTTTAGCTGCTATAGAAATTTAATGTGATGAAGAAGTTTATAAGATAAATTCATACACCTATCAACTCTCCATATTTTCTTTAACCTCTCATTAACCCCAAATAGGTGCCCCTTTTATAAAGATGACTAAGACAACCGAATTTACAAATGTGAAATCCCTAGAGTTTGATCTAGACATTGTCTCTGTGTAAGACAATAATTATCAAGGCAATAATTAGGATCTAGAGCTTAACGATTTGCATCTTAAATAAAATCAACTTGATAAAACTTAACTAGACAATGTTATTAGAGTGCAAGTGGTCCATGAACAACAAGAAAGCCACATTGCTTCATATGTCAAGTAACATATACATGGAATTCAGCGAAAAAAATAAGGACATTAACATTTATATGGACATTAAAATTTCACTGCTCATTAGAACTTTAATTTTCTTTTTATATTCAAATAACATTAGCTACACATGGACATTAAAAGCCATAATCCATCACCGATATCATTGTACGTGTACGTGTGTACATTTAGAAAAATATTGTATAGCCCCATGGAATTATATCCCCACCCTCTTAAAAAAGGTGGGCTCCATTTGTGGGATTCATATGAGACTCACAAATAAGAGCTACTCTTTATAAAAGGTGGGGATTTAGTCCTATAGGGACAAATAAGATTGCTAGTACATTTAAAGTCTAAGGTCAAGCATGCAAATTCATTCAAAAGATGAAAATTGTTAACACATCGATATCTCTCACGAGCAAAACGACTGTGGTGGATGAGTTATACTCCTCTTTTCCACATCATGAATAAAAAGTACCGGAAAAGAGCAATGTTATAAGGCACCGGTAGTGCTTAGTATTACTCACTAATAAAAAATGGGTCCCGCATCGTGAGACCTACATGTGGGACACCAGTAGTGTCTCTAAGCATTTTTCACTGCAAAAAGTCTCTGTCAAATAAATAATGTAATAAATGAAGGAAAAAAAACGAAGAAAAAAGAGCACCTCTTGTTACAAGAAAGCAAGATTAAAAATTTTCACAAGAGTTTCATAAACAAACAGAAAGAGGGAGATTAGTTTTACTTTTAACCCTTTCTATTAGAATTTACGTTGAAAGCAAAAAAAAAAAAAATGACACATTATCCCATTTAATCTCCTTTTTATCATTTGCTTTTAATGAAAATAATAAAAAGAATTAAATTGGACTAGTTAGAATTTAAAAGGTAAAATGAGAGTTAAAAAAAAACGTCACAAAAAAACAAGACTCTTAACACATTTTCATTGAAGATTCATAAAATAACCCCTTTTTTTTTGTGGAAAAGCCTTCAGACTCGTGACAAAACAAAATATTTTCAGATCATGTGAAGTTAAGAAAGAAAATAAAAATAATAATATTTGCTGACATACAAAAGATAAAATTAAGAAGGTAAAGAAAGAAAGCATTAGAACTAACAAGAAGACTGAAGCCGGTGACCCCAGAGAGAGAAATGGCTAAGGCTGTGCTAGAGAGAGAAAGCTCGCCAAGGTGACCAACCATCATGACGGAAATGACCTGCAACAAATACTGCGACAAAATCACAGCCACAAGTGGTGCTCCTATGAATCCCAATCTCTTCACTTCTTGTAACAAAACACTCCATGTTAAAGCACTACCACTAGGACTACTCGAGCAAATTTTTCCTTCTAAATCTTCTTCTTCTCTTTGTTTTGGCAATAATATTAAAGTCTCTTTCGTTCTTTTTTTATCTATTTCTCCTCCGACTTCTTCCATTGGAAGCGCCCACTAGCCTATTTTAATTTTGTTGTTGAGATCTTGGCTAGACTTTTACAGATATATATATATATATATATATATATACACACACACATTACACTCGGAATCTAATTTGTGTGTAAACATAAAATGGGTACACATGACCAAAACTCTCAAAATTCTATAGCTCTATTTATAGAGCCCCATGGAAACCAAACTCTCTTATTGGCATTATGAGGCACCAAAATTTCTGTGCCTAATTGAAGTGGGCTGGCAAGCCTGCCACCTACTCCCTCTTCCCTTTTATAATTGAATTTCAAAGTTCCCCTTTGGCACTTTCTACGCGATAAGCAATTTTTTATTTTTCCTCTTCCAAAGTACGTCTTCTTTTTCTAAACCGTTCATATCTCCATTAAAAGCACTAACAAAACATTTGCTCAGCGCTGACAATTTTTGGTAGACATTTTTGTAGGCTGTCCCTTGGCTGTTCCCTTAATAAAAAATATTAATTGATGGGTTTTTGATTTTATTCTTTCCAGCTGTAATATCAAAATAATTTAAATGTCTTTTCATCTAACATATCTTGTAGTACTAGTAACCATCTTACGAGTTCGAGTAGCAAATATAATATATATATATATATATATATATATATGTGTGTGTGTGTATATATATATATATATAAATTAGGAGTCTTCAATATTGTTATACCATAATTTTAAATAGGAAAATTTTGTCATTTTATTTTATGTCTCAAAACACTGTTCAGGATAATAAAAAATCATTTTATAAAATTTTAAGGTACCTACTTGATATTATTAAAAATATAAGATACCAAACGTATATTTCGCTATAAAGGGTATTAAAATGATTTTGTCTCATCCTTTTATGTTGGACTATTGTGTTTGACTCCATATCTCTCGGTTTCTTTTATAAAGCATTTATTTCACCAGAGCTTAAATGATCCGAATAAAAATAAAAATCAGGTCAACTTCCATAGCAAACATGATTAGCAAATCCGCAGAATCCAACCGATCCAACTTCCTCACTTAAAGGTACCTGAAATTTCTTCAAAAAGTTTATGTGAATTATTTGATCTAGATAATCAATATAACTTCAGTCTTAATTATCCAATTCAGGAAAAAGAAAAATGCTTATATGATTATCTATAGTATAGGAATGATCCTTATATTTGTAGTCAATGAATAACTTCTAGTAGGTAGAAAAAGAAAAACTGGAACTATGGAAATCAACTCCTGTTTTTAATATATGTCATCTGGCAAGACTTACTTTCGAACGATGTTATTTATCAAGCGCCCGACAATTAGGACCCACTGCATCATGAGTTGTTGTTTCATGCACTACTGATGTTTCTTTTATCTTTATTTCATGTTTTATGACTATATTTGTACTCTTATAACATTTCTTCTTCTTTTTTCTTTTGGACATGTCCTCTATTCTTAAAGAAAAATCAGAAAGAGAACAGAAGTTGTCTTATTGGGATGGAAGGAGGAGAAAATTTGGCTCCAGAATCTGCATATGGGGATAACAATAAAAACATCCATGTAGCTGGCTCAGAAGCATGCCAACAAGGCTGCTGTTGTGGATTAGATGCTATCGGTGAAGCGAAACGACAACTGGGACTAGCAGGGCCTCTTATAGTGGTTAGCATTCTGCAGAATAGCATACAGTTGATATCTGTCATGTTCAATGGTCATCTTGGGGAATTATCTCTTTCCAGTGCTTCTTTGGCCACTTCATTTGCTTCAGTGACTGGTTTCAGTGTTTTGGTAAGTGGGATTTTTCTAAACGCCTCTTAAAATACCTCTCAAGCCTGCTTGACAATGCCCCTACTCTTTTGTTTCTTCAAGGCCTTGAAAGAATTAGCTAGCAGGTAAAATCTTTCCTGAGGATTATGATTTTTCAATATAGTTGAGATAAATGTGTCATACAGCGAGGAAAAAAATAAGAATTTAAATGAATTATAAGCTGATCCATTGAAATTTTTTTCTTATAAAACTAATAATGAAGACCTTAAAAGGATTAATTTTGTCATTAATATTTGTGTTTTACAATATAGTTTAGACGTGTCATACTTTTAAGGAAAAATTGCAAGGATTTTTGGAGGAACTAGCAACTTTTAGTGTAAATTTTTTCCTATGAAATCTAGGATCTGATTGGTTTGTGGGTCCGAATTGTGGTGATTTAAACCTTTTCTGTTTGAACTATAAAATCTAATCAATGTGATTTGAACTACAATCTGTACCAGCGTTTGGATGTGTAAAAGTGTAAAATCTGATCATGAAATGATATCTAAATCTTTGTTTGGATATGTGCTGAAAACACTTCAAGCTTCTCTGAACTTCCTCTCAAAACCTCCTGGAAGTTAGGAATGGCTAGCGCCTTGGAGACTCTGTGTGGACAAGCCTATGGAGCCAAACAATACCACCTGCTTGGAATTCACATGCAAAGAGCAGTGCTAACACTTTTGACCATAAGCATTCCCCTATCAGTTATTTGGTTTTGCACAAGCACCATTCTCATTTCACTGCACCAAGACCACGAGATATCTACCGGAGCGGGAACTTTCAACCGGTGGATGATCCCAAGTCTGTTTGCCTTCGGCCTGCTTCAATGCCTCAACAGATTCTTACAAACACAGAACATTGTTTTCCCTATGATGATAAGCTCTGGGGTCACAGCTCTTCTCCACACCATTGTTTGCTGGCTTCTTGTCTATAAATTTGGCCTTGGGATTAGAGGAGCGGCCTTGGCAAACAACATATCATATTGGTTCAATGTGTTTTTGTTAGCAATTTATGTGAAATTCTCTGGGGCTTGCAGGCATAGTTGGGCAGGGTTTTCAAAAGATGCCTTTCATGATTTTTTCAGCTTTATGAGACTTGCCATTCCTTCAGCAGTGATGATATGGTAAGATTCAGAAGCTCCCAAAATGAAAAGACCATTAACTATCCGTCGGCTTCTATTCGATAACTTCAAGGATTACCTTGGTTTACAGCTTTGAATACTGGTCATTCGAAATGATTGTTCTCTTATCTGGTCTTCTCAAAAACCCAAAGCTAGAGACATCAGTGTTGTCAATAAGGTATTTATAGTCCTTTTCATATAACCATTTCGCAAAGTTACTTCTGATCATTTGTATCTCTTCCAAAACCGTTCTTTGATTGTCTTTTTTATCTTTTCTAGTGTGAACACAATGTGGATGGTATACATGGTCTCTGTTGGACTTGGTGGAGCAATAAGGTAAAATGAAATCTCAACTGCACTGATTATTCTTTGCTTTACCATTTTTTTGACAAGGACAGCATGATAAATTGTAGTGATTGTACAGTAATTTTATATTTAGTTCCACTTGTTGTGTGTTTACAGTTCAAGGGTGTCCAATGAATTGGGTGCTGGGCAGCCGCAACGAGCCCGATTGGCTTTGGTTGTTGCCATTGTGGTGGCTTTATCAGAGGGTGTCTTTGTAGGAATAGTGACAATTTTGGCACGCCATGTTTGGGGAAAGCTCTTCAGCAATGAGAAAGAAGTTATCAGATATGTTGCCAAAATAATGCCACTGCTTGCATTATCTGATTTCTTGGATGGATTTCAATGTGTACTTTCAGGTAATAACTTTTTGCAAATACAGACGTTCAAGGAAACTTTTCTGTTAATTCCTACTGGTACTATGTGTTTCTAAAAGTTTGACCACATCAATTGTCAAAAACAAAACAATATGCAAATATGACCAAATCTTATGAAGTCTTGACCGTGTAAAACTGCAGCAGATTTTTTTTAGCCTACAAAATTATTCTCCAAACCTTTTTTCTTTTTTTTTTGGTAAAGAAAAAAGAAAGGTTATAGGAGTAGAGGGTGGCGTACCCAGATAACCAAGGGGACACATGGGCCGCATGGCATATGGGGTCCTCTCGACGTGGATTGCCTATAATACCACGACCAGCACGGGGGTCTCAGCTTGAACCCATGACTTATGGGGGACAGAGGGCTTACCACCCCGCCAAGCTCTCGGTAGTATTCTCCAACTTGTTTGACTGTGCTTATGACTTTCTTATGGTAATTTTATCTGGTTATATATCTAGGTGCTGCTAGGGGATGTGGATGGCAAAAGCTCTGTGCATTCATAAACCTTGGCGCTTACTATGTTGTAGCAATTCCTTCTGCTGTGCTTCTTGCTTTCTTCTTCCAAATTGGAGCCATGGTAGGCTTCTCTCTCTAGCTCTCTTTCTCAAACTAGGTGTTTGTATTGTGGCTGAAGAAGTTAAGACTCATTGGCAGGGACTTTGGATTGGGATAATATGTGGACTTTCTGTTCAAGTTATAGCTCTCATCACTCTAATTGCATGCACTAATTGGGACAATGAGGTACGTGTCTTCATCTTCTTGGAGTTATCTTAGATTTATAGAACTGTCTTCTTGGAGTTTAACATATAAAACCTCATCAAGGAAAAAAAAAATCGACTAAATTTCAATTGTTTCCTCTTTTACATTCCGTGACAAACTCCTACCACTCTTCTCAGGAGCTTATTTTATTTTTCTTCCTGTAAAAGTTATATCGTTTTTCTTTGGAAATCATATAAATGTTCCTCAGGCAATGAAAGCTGTACGTAGAGTACAAGAAGCTGGCAGAGGTATTGGCATCGAAACAGAGAGTTTACTTTCGGAAGAATTCAATGCCGACCAGCATCCAGCACTGACATAAATGTTCCTCCTGAGAAAGAGCCAAGAAATTGTTTACGATGGAAGAAATTGGTTCGTGTTATAAAACAAATGAAAATAGCACAAAAAATAAACTACAAAGCTAACATGTATGAGCTCGCAAGTATGCGAATCGTAGCAAGTAATAAAGTGACAATTTGTCAAGTATCGTCCCACAAGAATTGAGTATTTTTACAAATTAAACTAAGTACCGTTACTACAATAACTTTAACTTTATCTAGGCGATCGAATAAGAGTAATTCAAGTAATTAAAATGATAAATTAAAATACTAAATCAAGTAAAAATAGAATTTAGAAATAACAAGGGATCGAAGGGAACTCTGATGGTAAAGCGGCTAGGAGTTAGGTTTTTTGTTCTATCAAACTATGCAATTCTAATATTTGGTTTTCTTAACTAGCTCCAGTCAATTCACTAATCTAGGTTTTCTCAAGTAATTTCTGATAGTCAATACAAACACGCCACCCCGTTACGATCCTTGTAGGAATAAGTTCATTGTTCTCATTTTTTACCACCATCATGCCCCCCTTTTTCGGCACAACTTGAACCAGGCTAACCAAGAGCTATCCGAAATAGCATAGATAATACCGGCATTCAACAACTTAAGCACCTCGGCACGCACCACTTCTTTCATAGCCGGGTTCAACCTTTTTTGATGCTCTATGCACGGCTTGTAAGACTCTTCCATCAAAATCTTATGCATTCAAATAGTTGGACTAATAACCTTGATATCCGAGATAGACCAACCCAAGGCGGATTTGTGACTCATTAAGACTTCAAGCAACTTTTCTTCCTCTTGCAAACTCAAGGATGCCAAAATGATAACCGGATAAGTTGATTCCTCTCCCAAGAAAGCATAACGAAAATGATCGGGCAATTGCTTCAATACCAATCCATCATGAGGTGAGCTAGATGAAACTAGGGGCACCTTAGAAGTCTCGAGAGCATTCATTAGGTCAAGACCATCCAATTGGCTCTTGGAAGTCTCATCACTGGGGAAAGCCTCAAAAGCCAAAAAAACAATCCAAAATTCCATCATCTTTGGCATAAAGTTCCCCACCAAAGTCCAATTTAGAATTGGAATTAACAAGACAATGTTCCAAAGGATCACAATACAAGGCATCTCGAGTTACCTCTTGGACACAAAAGTTGACAACTTCAATTCGATTGCAAGTGGGCCTTTCATCCAGAAACTTCATGGTGTTGAAGATATTGAACTTGACTTCCTCTTCATTAACTTAGAGAGTCAAATTTCCGCTATGAACATCAATCAAAGCCTTTCCGGTTGCAAGAAATGGTCTTCCAAGGATAATGGGGATCTCCCGGTCTCCCTCCATATCAAGAACCACGAAGTCCACTGGGAAAATAAATTCGTCTACTTTCACCAAAACATTGTCAATGACACCCCAAGGATAAGTTAAATAATGGTCCGCCATTTGTAAGGAGATAGTAGTGGGTTTAACTTCACCAATACCCAATTTCTGAAACACTGATAAAGGCATGAGATTTATGCTAGCACCAAGGTCACACAAAGCCTTCTCAAATGTTAAACTTCCAATAGTGCATGGAATAGTGAAACTACCTGGGTCTTTTAACTTTTCCGGGAGTTTCTTTTGAAGAATAGCTCTACATTCCTCCGTTAACTTTACTGTCTCATAATCTTCCAAATGCCGCTTCTTAGACATCACCTCCTTCCAAAGCATCCGCAAAAGGAATGTTGATATGAATCTTTTTAAAGATCTCAAGAAACTTTGAAAATTGAGAATCAAGCTTCTTATTTTGAAACCGTTGGGGAAATGGCAACAATAGAGTAAAGATCGGTGGATTTTCCAGAAATGAGATAGAATTTGGTTTTGAAGCTACCTTGGGTGTCTCCGTTACAACTTCATCTTCTTTCTCCTTAGCATTAGCCTCCCATGGCTTGGGATCTTCAATTTCCTTCCCACTTCGAAGTGTAATGGCTTTGCAATGTTCCTTCGGGTTCTTTTCCATGTCACTTGGAAATCTATGCGGTTGTTGATCCTTAAGAGAGTTGGCCAATTGACGAATTTGCCTTTCGAGATTCTTCATGGTGGTTTCCATGATATTACAATGACCCTATAAGTTAGCAAACCTTGAATCACCTTCTTTGAACTTTGAGGTAGTCTCCCTCATGAAAGTGCCCAAAATATCTTCCAACGATTGTTTCTTTTCCGGCGCAATTGGGTTCGCATGTTGGTTGTACCCTGGAGGTGGTTGCAAGGTGTTCCTTTGGTTGGCATATGAGAAGTTCTCATGATTGCAAAGCCCGGTATGATAGTGAGTTGGCAAATTATTTGTGGGCTGAAAGTTATAATTCCGGTTGTTGATGTATTGGCATTCCTCTTAGTTAATCCCCGCTTCAACATAGGAGGTGTTCACCACATTAGCCACATCCTTGCTTGTAGAAGGATCCCTAGTGGTCCATGCTGAAAGTTGATTAGTTAAGGCCGATACTTTAGCAGATAATGCAGTGATTGGATCCACTTCATGAACCCCGACAGCTCTCTTTAGAATCAACCTCTCATTAGGCCACTGGGAATTGTTCGTAGACATTTCCTCCAAACATAATTGGGCTTCCACGGCGATTTTAGATAGCAGAGTACCACCAGCCGCCGCATCAAGAACTGTCCTTGTTCGCCCATTCAACCAATTATAGAATAATTGTATCTGAAACCACTCCTGATAACCATGTTGAGGACATCTCTGGACAAGATCCTTGAATCGCTCTTATGCCTCATAAAGAGGCTCAAAATCTAACTGTCTGAATTGGCCGATCCCACTCCTCAACTGAGTTGTCTTCGAAGGAGGAAAGAACTTGTTAAGGAATTTCTAAGCCAATTCGTCCTAAGTAGCCACACTCCCCGGAGCTAGTCCTTGTAACCAACCCCGCGCCTTGTCCCTAAGAGAAAACGGGAACAAGCGTAGTCAGATCACATCGTCTCCAACACCATTCATCTTGATTGTATCACATATCTCCAAAAACATTGCAAGATGAACGTTGGGGTCTTCATTCGGTGATCCCCCGTATTGTTTCTATTGCACCATGCTGATCAAGGCCGGCTTCAACTAAAAGTTATTAGCATTAATTGTTTGGCGCTGGATCCCTGAGTAGTTGTCATTCAACACCGGCCGGAAATAATACATCAAGGTTCTTTGTTGATTATTATCAATGACATTATTGTTGTTGTCGCCTTGTGCATCTACCATAGCTTGAATTCTTGCCCTCCGTTCTCTCCGATTTGCACGACAAACTCATTCAATTTCCGGATTATACGGTAGCAAATCCAAGCTCCTACTTCTTCGCATTCACTGCCAAAGCAACAATAGGCAAAATTAAGTAAGTAAAATAAAAATAAAAGCCTAAATTAAAGTCAAGTTACTTGGTCGTGATATTAATCCATTTCTAAACAAACATTCAATCCCCGGCAATGGCGCCAAAAACTTGTTGCGAAAATTCTTCTTAACATGTATGAGCTCGCAAGTATACGAATTGTAACAAGTAATAAATTGACAATTTGTCAAGTATCATCCCGCAAGGATTGAGTGTTTTTACAAATTAAACTAAGTACCACTACTACAATAACGTTAACTTTATCTAGGCGATCGAATAAGAGTAATTCAAGTAATTAAAATGGTAAATTAAAATACTAAACCAAGTAAAAATAGAATTTGGAAATAACAAGTGATCGAAGGGAACTCTGATGGTAAAGCAGCTAGGGGTTGGGTTTTTTGTTCTATCAAGCTATGCAATTCCAATATTTGGTTTTCTTAACTAGCTCCAGTCAATTCACTAATCTAGGTTTTCTCAGGTAATTTCGCTCCCTCTCCCGAGTGCCGAGTGAAATAGTGTGTAAAGTCGATTAAGTAATATCCCTATTCACTTAACCTAGTAAACACCTATTAAGCAAATCTATTATGATTACCCAAATCAATTAGCCTCCTGAACTCAACTAATTCTATGTTGTGTCTCTCAATTCCCAATATGTGAAAGTAACTCTCCCGAGCCTAAATCTACACATCTATATCATTAATTCATTATATCATAAATTAGAGCAATAAAAAGAGAAAGACACAAATGAACTAAAATGGAATTTCATTAACAAATACCAAATATCTTCAAAGCATAACAAAAGATAGAACTACATCCCAACCCCTAGCTTAAAGAGTTTAGCTAGAGATATACATCATGAATTCTTCAAATAAATACATAAACAAACCAAAATTCCAATCCATCATTCAATCACAAATCCAAGAAAGTAACTCAAAATCGAATGCTAAATTAGATAGAGAGGGAAATAGAGAATGTAGAACTAGACGCCAATAGAGCTCCACAATCTTCAATCCCTCATTGATTCTTTAAGCAAGCCTTCAATTCTTTGTGATTTCTTCTATTGAGTTCTGATTTTTCTCCTTAAAACTCACTCCCTCACTCTGTTCCTTTCTTTTCTTTTATCTCTCCCCCGTAAAACAGCTCATTTCTGCTCTAAAAACTGAGCAACACGTGTCCGTGCACTACAGCGGGAGTTTTGTGTGCTGCAGCGCCGCTAACTGTCATCCAGAAACCCCAGCAACACAGTCGCGGGTGCTGCAGCGGTAGACAATGGTGTTGTAGCGCCCATCTACTCGGCCAAGGTGCGCTGCAATGAGAGATAATGGCGCTGCAGCGCCCATAACTTTCCTTCCCTCTGGTTTTGGCACTGTAGCGAGCTCAGGACGCGCTGCGGTGATCGAAACAACGTGTTTTTGTACTTTTTCTTCCTCTTGAGACCAAATATTCCATTTTTGCTACCATCTACAAAAGTGAGACAAAAACACCATAAAACACATGTGCAAATATCAAGAACACGCAAAATAACTAAGGATGGTACTAATAATAAATCAAGTTATCAAAAGCATAAATAAAAGAGAGACACAAGAGAAATATGAGATACTATCATTTTCTATTCTTTCATTCACTTGTAATAGGTGTGTTCAAAACAAGCTCATACATCTTCTATTTATAGGCTAAGAACCATGAGCAAAGGTAGACTAAAAGACACAAGTTACATGAGTTACATACAATATTAAGATGGAAATTATGAAGAGATAATACACAACATCAAGGGAAGAATTATGAAGAGATAATGCGATCTAAATGAGTGGTTATGGAATACCAAGAGGTGGCATCCACACTTAATTGATTTACAACACCCCTTCTTGATTTCCACCTACCAAAGAATATGCCTCGTTAAAAATCTCACTGAGAAAAAACCCTATGGAAAAAAATCTTTGTGAAGGGAAAAATAGTGCGTTATTCTTGTAGCATTTGCGTTTGGAACTGCCTCGTTTAAAACCTTGCAAGGAAACCCCAATGGGAAAAAAACCTAAGCCAAGAAAAAAAGAGTACAGTACGCAGTAGCCTCCCCCTCATGTAAACATGTCTTCTTCAGCAATAATAAGGATCTCTGAGTTGACGCATATTAATCTTGTGCATCAATTTCTCAAATGAAGATGTAGAGAGTGCCTCTATTAACAAATCAGTCAAGTTGTCACCAGAACAAATTTGATGAACGCTTATTCTCTTGTCTTTTGGAGTTAATATGCGAAAATAAACTTTGATGAAATGTGTTTGGTTCTGTCTCTTTAACTTAGGCTTTACAAGTTGCATCTCCCCGTATAATACTGTCAAATTCTTTTGACAAATGAAAGATCAAATGTTTATCAAATATGATAGACTAGATATCTTAATCATACTCAGTCTCACTTGCCTCATGAATTGGTAATATTTCAACATAATTAAAAAATGCAACGGAATGGTTTGTTTTATTGAGGGCCGAGATAATACTTGTTTCACACCTTTTGAGAAATACTTCTATATCAAGTCTTGTAGCGAGATACAATAGTGTGCCAATAGCACTTAAAATTTGGTGCTTCGAGACCCAAAACTATTTCATTATAATCTCGAGAACGTTAAAAGAATCCTTTTTGTTGGTAACGATTTTCTATGCATAAGCGTGTATCTAGCGGATCGCATATAACAAAAATTTTAATAAATCTTTGAGATACTCTATATTTTAAATTAATTTATGCACAAATAAATTAATCAAATTAATTTATGAATAAATTTACCTAGCGAACGATTAGGTCGATAACTTGAGTTCTTTGACCACGAACGTTCCTCACTCCGAGCTTGTTTAGAATACCTGAATTTTTCTCGTCAATTCCTTAAATCTATGAAGACGTGTGTGCGGACACACTTGAAACAAAACGAAATCAGCACTCAAACACTCAAGTTTTCCACGAACACCAACACATGCACGACGTGCAATTGGGGAGAATTTTCTTTTTCCTCACTCTATAAAACTAGCTACTATATGCTATGAAGAGAAAAAATCGTGTTCTCTAATTTTCTGCAATCTCCTTTTTATAGAGTAGCTGTCAGACTCCCATAAGAAATCTAAACTTTATCTGCAAGATAAAGCTTGATAATCATCTCCCACTTCTATTTTATTTTGGAAACAAAATCCACTCTCTCTCTTATCCACAGGGGCCAACCACCGCAGGGATATTCTCCCATGTGGTTGGCGTAAATTACTAGATAAGGAAGGAGGTAAAATTATCCTTTATCCAGCAGTCTAATTTTGACTCAAATTCAAACTCCAATTAAAGTTAATCGGATAACTTAGAGAGCAAACAACTGAATCCCAGAGGGATTCTCACCGTGTTGGGTGTGTACACCATGTGGACTTCTTCACATGTGTGTTCTAAAATTCAAATTAAAATAATCACATTATTTAATTTATAATTAATTCTCAATTAATTATTATTGAGCGTTCTATTAGAATTCTATAATTTTAAAATTCTCATTTTGCCTTAGTATCTTGTAGGATTACAAGGACGATGTGGGAACTCATAAATCTATAATTTTGAGCTCCAATAAAATTAATAATTATTTAAAACTCTATAATTAATTAATTAATTTTATTAATTCTAAAAGTTACTCCATTATAAACTTGGAATTGCACTCTCGTAATTGTAAATATAATTTACTTCTAAACTATGAAGTGTCCATTTGATACAGCCATTACATATAGATCAATCCTCCATAAATAATTCATATTTAGAATTAGGTGAAATCTGTTAACCTCTCTAATTACATATTTATCCTTGAGTACCATTAACTCTCTAATGGGCAGTAATTCATAAAATAAATTCATGAATCGGAGCTCTTACTAGTCCAAGTACCGAATCAATCCTCAAGAGAATTATTTATCTCCTTCTTTCTTAAGAAAGAATGGATTCTATCTCGTATATTAACATTCACATCTAGCCACTTCTTCATGTCTCCAAAATACAAGGAATAGGATTCAACATCTTAGAATCCGTACCAAGTATCAAAAAACACAAATCCATAAATTAGAGTTTGCTAGTACCTCGGGCCCATTAGTATGTGCATGTTAGGATACTAGTTCATTAAGTATGCGATAAGTTATGCACATTGTTATGACATAATAATGTTGTGTTACGATTTATTTAAGAATGATTAATTCATGATAGTGAATAATATGAGGTTTTGTTATGAGTATGAGAGTATGATACGACATGGTAGGACTATAGCATGATAACACTATGTTGATTTAAAGTATGTATGTCTCTTAGTTAAATTTAATTATGATCATGTTACACGGGAACATGTGATTAATATTGTGATTGTGTTATTTTCTAATATCTTCTTGGTTGTTGTGAACCCCTAATAAGAAGGTAAATATGGGTACGCTATATTATTAGGTGTATTTATGTGTTTTATTCTTGTTTAAATCCTATGCACGATTGTGCTTATAAGAGCACATGACTACTTGAGAAGGCTTCAGTTACGGTAATAAGAAATTGATTAAGATTTATGATATGGTATGCTTATGGTAATGATATGTTAAGATTATGATGTATGATATGATATGATTTTGGTTGTGGTATGTTAAGATTAAGACTTATGAATATAATTATGGTATGTTAAGATTATGATTTATGATATCTTATAATTATGATTATGGTACGTTAAGATTATGATTCTCATACGTTGAATATGAGTTATGAAAGTCAAAATAATAGTCAACTGATAACATGAATATTTAATGTGACGAGTTTATGCATATTTGAGTATAAAACACTCTTCTATGAAACATGTTAGGAGTTAGTACGAAGCATGTCATATTATGATTATTTATTAATTGGTAAAAATTATGAATTAATTGACTATATATATTGAGAAAAATTATGAGTACTTGAATTAGGTATTCAAATTAATATCGCTTATGTCTACATTTATGTTCATGTCTCTTTTCTGCTAAGGAATTATTGTGTCACATTGCATTTGTATTTAGAGTAACTAGTCTGCTCGCTTACTGAGCTTCCTAGCTCACTAGGATTCCTTGTGTTGCAAGAAAAAGGAAAGAAAAATTTTAAGATAAAAGCTCAGTGATTGCGGAAGCGAATCGAAATTGAATGTTCATATGGGGATAAGACTTATATTGATTTTTGAGAGTTGGCCTTATGGCTTCAATATGATTTTCCGCAAAGTTATGTTTTTAATTGAAAAACCTCTTTCAAGCACCTTTTTCTTTTCAAATTTTGAAACTTCCATATTTTGATTAAGAAATTGTAAGCTTTTAAAAGTTTAAATATTCCGCATTATTATGACTATGTTTTATATGTGTGTGTGTGTGTGTATTTGTATGTAAATTAAAAAAAAAAAAAAAAAGGATCTGCATATATGGTATGATTTGTATGTATGTGCATCATGTTTTTCCATCAGGATTCATCGCCGGCCTATCATAGTAGGTGGATGGCAGTGGGTTGTGACAATAAATCTATATATTAATAAATCTCTGCCTTAGATCTTCAACAACTAAGAATATGCCTCATTAAAATCTTACTGTGTAAAAATTTAATGGGACAAAAATCCTTGTGAAGGAAAAAGAGTGCAATGTTCTTATAATATACAACGAAAACTGCTTCATTAAAAACCTTATCATAAAAATCCAGTGGGACAAAATTATGACTAAGGAAAAAAGAGTAAATGCGTATTTATTACCTCTTTATATAAATATCTATGATTGTTCCAATAGTATTTTAAATAATTGAGTCAACGCATATTATTATTTATAACTCAAAAAATATTGCAGACTACTATCTAACCTTTAATACCGGCCATTAACACTTTGTTAATATTTACATTGTTGCTCTTTCAGAGCTCATATGTGATAAAAATTTGATAAGTATATTGGCTATTTTTGGGTATATATAACAAACTTGTACCCATATTTATTTCTCAATTGGTAAATTGGTAAATTCATGGTGCAGTTATCATTTCCATAATAATTCAACTTCATGTGAGTATGAAATATTTTGCGCCTCATAGTCATTTGCCTATTTTATTCAATTATATCTCGTACAATGAGATACCAAATTATATCATTTCCATAAAAACTCAATTTCATGTGAGTATGAAATAATATGATTGTCATTTCATATTATTTGCTCAATAATAAAAGGCCAAATCTAATATCATTTTTATACCTGATCAACATAGTTTTACTTTTAATTGCAATATTATTTAACATTTATATCATAGAATATCTAAAGCCAAATAGTCAATTAACAGCTCTAAGAATTATTGGCACAAAAGTATATGTCAATATAAAGAGAATGTTAACAATGATACCAACATTTACTAATGGCTAAACAAAACAATATATAACAATGTGAAAGGTCACACATGATAAAACGTAGACCATATTACGGATTGCATATAAATGATAAAGGTAATACAATTCTTGGATATAATAAGAAAATTGGAGATCTATATAGTTCAGTATAGTCTTGAATTAACATGCCTAGTGAAAAATTAAGAACAATATTTCAAGCTTCACAGAGAATATAAACAGATCAGTCATATTACATAAATTTAGTGACACCTGTGAACTTAACTCGTTTCTTTTGCAACAAAACTCAGAAAAAATTTGAACTCGAGTTACAACTTTATTTAAGTTCATGTTCTTTTATAAAATTTGAATTTAAACTCGAGTTTTGAGCTAAACTCGAGTTTGAACTCGAGTTTGGGGCTAAACTCGAGTTCAAGTTTTCCTTTCAACTCGAGTTCATAAACTTGAACTCAAATTAATGAATAATATTTTTTCTATTCTTAAAAATGTCATAATTTTTTTGTTTTAATTCTGATTGAGATGATTTTTTTCTATGCATTCACAACGAAAAGACGAATAAAACCACACTCATATACCCTATTAAAATTTTTCATCACTATTAAATTTTTATTAAAATACTATCTAAATACAAATTTAAGTTTTGACCCACCCAAACACAAACTCAAAAAGATTCTCAATTCAAATCATAACTCAAATGTGCACATCCAAACACAAACTCAAGTTACAACTTCAACTCAAGTTATAACTCAAACTCAACTCAAGATGAAGAACCCTAATACACTCAAAAACTTATGGATTGCAAAGAAAATTTGAAATATATGATGATAAAATAGTAATCACGTATAGAAATCATTCAACGTAACAAGACCTCGGATTTAGAAACTAATAACAAGAAGTTTTATAAAAGAAAATGAAAACATGGCATGATTCATACATGAAATTACCAAAAGTACCATTATAAATAAAAGATCACCAATAATTCAAATAATATATAATACAGAGAAATTATATAACAAAGAAATCAATTGAGTACAATATGTGATAATTACATTCCACCGTATATATGCTCTCCTAATAACCAATAATCAACAAGATCATAATAACATTAAAAGGAAAAGGCATCTGGGTCCAAATAGATCAAACCTGTTCATTTCAACAAAAATGTTGCTTGCAATTGCACATAGTCGTATCATCCCAAAATCTTTCAAGACTTCAACCAATGGAAAAATAGAGAGAATCTTTAGGTCTTGTAAAAACCTTCAAAGTTTTCATACAACAAAAAATGAAAATAGCACAAAAAGTAAACTACAAAGCATAAATAAAAACGACACAAGAGAAATATGAGAGACTATCGTTTTATATTCTTTCACTTGTAATAGGTGTGTTCAAAACAAGCTCATACAACTTCTATTTATAGGCTAAGAACCATGAGTAAAGGTAGACCAAAAGACACAAGTTACATAAGTTATATACAATATTAAGATGAGAATTATGAAGAGATAATACGCAACATTTAAGGGAGGAATTATGAAGAGATAATGCGATCTAAATGAGAGGTTATGGAATATCAAGAGGTGGTATCCACACTTAATTGATTTACAGCAATATGCAATTCTATTGGAAAGCTAAACAAAAAGAAGGGAACCAAAAAAGGGGGGCAAGTAAGAGCAGATTGTAAGACAAGTTCTCAACAAATTACTTCTTCAAGTTCCATAGAGAACTCCATTGTTCTATGTTACGATTCATGATGCAGATAAAAAGGTTTCTCAATACATGCAGATAATGGCAAGTTTATGTAAAAGCCTTAAATTAATATCTCGCCAAGTCGTCAATCATACACGGTTACACAAAATGTATTCATGTATGAAAATAGATATGCAAATAGACATACATTCAAATTCAGACTATGCAAATGCTTTCACAAAAATATGTAAAAATCTCTGTATGTTAAATATTTCTGCTAAAGACCGCACGCTTTTTTCCAATCAGATTTTAAGTCAAGACTCTGAGTTTTTGCTTGGTAAAGCCAGCAGTACAACATGTTCCCATAAGATTGAAACATATGAGTCTGAACAACGAAACTTTGAAAGACAAATTTTGAGTCAATCACATGGGACATTAGAAAATATTCAACCTTGTATTATCCTATGGATCCACAGAGAAAATGAGGACATAGCATGTTCCACTTGGTACTCCAGAATGTATTTGTCAAAGCATTTAGCAAATGGAGACGTTTGAAATTTGGAGAGCCAATACCATCTGAAACAATCTCCACGTCAAAATGTCAAATGCATAATAGCCACTTTAGCTAAAAACCGCTGCTTGTCATACTAATGATGATTGAGATGAGGAAGGTGGTTCTTCTCCGGTGCCATTGGTTTCAGTGACGTGAATCGCATGATCGGGCAAGAGAGGAGGCTGCTCTTCACGTTCATTGTGATCAGGGGAAGGGGGTGGCTGCTCCTCATGCTCATTGTTCTCGGGGTGAAAGTTGATTGGGAACTTCGTGACTCTTGGTTTGTCGGCTAAAATGTTTCTCTGGACCCTATCAATCAAAACCTTTGTTGGAGGTTCTTCCCTCAGTTGTTCATCATCATAATCATTGTTCACGTAGTATCCCACTCTAATAAATTCTTGTCCCAAGTAAGAACAAGTCAGTAGCAGTACCGTGACACCAATAATGTCTTCCTCTCGGATTTTTGATGGGTCTGGTGGATCTGCCTGCACGAGACTCAGAACATAAATGAGTAAATCAAATTCCACAAAGCATAAGCAACTGAGTTCAAGCCAGGTTAAGTGATAAGCACAGGGAGTCATAAAAATTACCTGAAGGACAAACCGGTAGTTGCCAACGTTGACAGGACCAACAAGCACACTCTCTAAGAGTTGGTCATAGGTCTCATCCTCAGCAGAACCAACGTATGTGAGTTTCCATTCCAAATCTGAGATAATTTCAAGATCACGTCATGTCAAGGCAGTTAATACTTAACATTCTAATATTTTATTCAATATATTGAACATTTGAACTAAATACTAAAGCGATTAGACACTAACAAGAAATTTAAAGACAGAAAGATTCAAACAGAAACAAACATCCAGTTTGCTTCATCTAGATAGATGAACATATAATCAAGTTCCTTCTCCTTTCCAAGGTAACAGAAAAATCCGTCAACAATGCAAAGCAAAGCATTGGCCTTTAAATCCTTCATTCTTCAGCTATAAGCACGATATATTTTCATATTTCTTTCCTAAATACAACTGGTAACAACAAATTTGAGAAACAGAACAATCAAGATTCTTCTAATAATGCTTTTAGTACAAACTCCTCTAAAATGTCACATTCACTTCCTAGTTTCCCCTCATGAAAGGAACTGTTCCTCCCGTCAAATACTCACTAATCAACGCTCTATGGAATATAAATACAGCCAATTCGAGCTGTAAAGTGTAATCAACCAATGGCATGAGTTAGCTAAATGAAACGAGGGATCAAAACTAGCAATTGGGAGTTGGGAGACACCATTGGGCCAGTGAAAAAACTGCCTTAAAAAAAGATTTGGAAATATATTATTTTTATCATAACTTAAAAATAATGGCTTAAACTATCTCTAAAAACCAAAGCAAGGAAGCTCAAATATGTAGAAGTCGTAAATGGGGAAAGAGACCAATTACATATGATCAAGAAAACAACAAATCATGAGGGCAGTTGGAAAAACATGATATGAATAATCAACAAAAATTGGAAAATAAATATTGTCTGAATTTCATTTCATTTATTTAAACAAATCAACATAGTGGCGAAATGAACTTCTATATTCTTTATTCTATTACAAAAGAAGAAAAGCAAAGGAATAAAAATTACATCATGAGATATAAGAGGAAATTAAACTGAGACCCAAAAAACCCTAAAACTACCCTCACCCAAAAAAAAAATGAAAAACAAAACACAGGTGGAAAGCCCTAAATTTCTAACCTAAGTACATGATTCAAGAATCTAGAGCTAAGAATAAAGTACACAATCCATTCAGCGATATATCGCATAATTTAAGAGCTTTATTATCAAGATGTTAAAATGAAAAGCTTCTCGAGTTATGGCTAAAAATATACTAAAAATCCGATTACAGTTCACAAATCATAATTCCCACTTCAGATTTCAAATTTCCTCCGATTTTTCAGTAGAATATTACAGTATCTGTGTCTGAAATCTTCAATTAACGCCGAATTTGCAATCTCAATTAACATTTAGGAAAAACGAGAAAAAATAAAGAAAAAATAAATCAAATCGAATTCAAAGAAAAGAAAAGAGTACCATCTTTGAGAGGAGTCGAGCACTCGTAGGAGATTTCAAACTGGAAGGGGTTGAGAAAGGCGGCGGGGTTGTCCAAAACGGCGACGTTCGTAATGTTGACAGCACTCATCTTCTGGAAACCAGAAAGAATTCTTCTTCTTCTTCTTCTTCTTCTTCTTCTTCTTCTTCTGCTGATACTGATGGTGAAATCGTAACCCTAGATTTGATATCCTTCATCGACCGGGAAAAACCGAAACCCTAGAAGAGCGACGCCCGGCGACCGGGAAAACCGAAACAAGGAGATTCAAGGCAGAACCAAAGAAAAGGGGAAATATTTCTGTCTCTGGAGTGTTTTTCTGACGTTGGAAAATGGGTGTAGGCTCTTTTATAAATGGGGGCTGCGGGTGGGTTCTTTTTTTTTTTACCGGCTACTGCAGGTGGCGCTGTGGAGGGAAATGGGATTGAGAATTACGATTTGGCGGGAGTTTTTTATTTTTCTTTTTTTCTAACTTTGCTCGTCCTTTTTAGGGTGTGTTTGGTTGATAGATTCGTATCATGATTTGAATTATGATTCTTAATTTGTTACAATATTTTTTCTTATAAAAAATACACATAAACTAAAAATGGTTCTAAATCATGATTTGCTACAGTATTTTCTTTTAGGCCTCGCTCAGTTTGTTAATTTGAGTTAAGATGTGATTTTATGTGAAAATTTTTTACTTTAGTAAAAAAAATTAAATGTGATTTTTTATAAGAACTTTTAACTGTAACAAAATTAAAATTTAAATTTTAAATTAATAAAATAAATGAGACCTTAAAATTTATTAAATTTGAATTTCTTATATCGTATTAAGTTGTTGGCTATTTACTACATTTTGTCAGCATAATATATATTTTTTATTTTGATTTAGATTTATCATTTAGAAAACATGCATAACACAACTAGAATTATAAATATTAGGGAGAAAGAGAAAAATAGGACAAAACTTGAGATGAATTAAAATTAATAAGCTAATAGTTTATATAAGTTAATAAATAGGTCAAATTACTGTTTTCGTCCATAACTTGTCTGGTTATGAACCATAACTTGACAAGTTATTCACGGTTTTTGTCCATAACTTGTCTGGCTATGAACCATAACTTGACAAGTTTGTCCATAACTTATCTGATTATGAACCATAACTTAACAAGTTATGACCTATTAATTTCTATAACTAAAAATTTGTCTATATACTTTTTTAAATTTTTTATATTAACCTATTTTTTACTATTTCTATAAATATTATTGCGTAAAATTGGTTGTCCTGTTGCATTGCCCACCTATTAGGCCTATTGGGGGGCTTGACTCAACTTAGAGAAAATTTTATATTAATACTCTGTATTATAATGTAATTATCTTTTAATATTTTGTGTTTTTAATAATTTTAAATTAATATTTAATGTTTTAAGAAATTATTTTTTAATATCCTGACATTTTTTTGAAATGTAAAAATGTCATTTTTACCAATTTCATTAACTATGCAGAAATTAAAATCTGTAATACATATTCTAAAAAAAAATACTAAAAATATATTATAAATAAAAAAGTAAAAAAAATCCCTTTCTCTCTCTGATCCTCTCTCTTCTCCCTCTAGAAGACCCCCCTCTCTATCTTCTATCTTTTCGGCGAGGCCATCCCGGCAAACCCCATCCGCGAACTCTCTTTGTTCGCTCTCTCTGTTCACGAACCAGATTGCGCCATTACGAACAGATCTAGCCAGTCGTGTTCACAAACTAGATCCTAGCTCTCTCCACGCGATCAAAAGTCGTCGTCACCACCATATTCGCGAACCAGCCCCGTCGAGTCGAGATTATGGCTATTGTTGAGGACCTAGATGCAATCTCTTTTGACGGGCGAATTGGGTGGAGGGGCGAAGGAAGGGCACGCGGAGTGAGGAGGCGAGCGAGGTGGTATGTAGGTGGGGGGTGAGCGAGGGAGATCTAGGTCGCACCCAGCACTCGCGACCTACCCGATTGTACCCCAACCACCTTTGCGATCTAGCCCCCAACCTCCAACGAGCGTTGATCTGCCGAGCCCAGCCCCATCGCATGACGCACCTCCAACGAGCCCAAATCTGTCGTCACGAATCCCACTCGTGTGGTCCATCTCCGACGGGCGCAAATCTGTTGTCATCAACCCCACCCGCAAGACCCACCTCCGGCAAGCCAATATTTCTGGCACGAACCCCACCCACGCATAGGTTTTTATGTTGCTCTCTGAATTCGTGGCTACAATTTTCTGGTTTGTTGATGCTATTGTTGAGGTATATTTGTTGTTGCAGAGCTAAGGAAGATGAATGTGGGTTTTATTTGATTTTAGTTGGAAGGATTTTAATTTTTTCCTCTGAATGTGTTTTGTTTTGATTTTGGTTGAAGGTTTTTTTTCTCCTTCAATTGTGTTTTGCTTCGTTTTGGTTTGTGTTTTGTTGATTTTTTTCCTCAACAAAACTTGGGCCACGTTCTTTACTCAAGTGAGCCTTTCTCGAGTATTTGAGTGCAAACGAACACTTCCTTGGTTTCTCAAATCTAGAAAAAAAAATTTAAAATGTATTTGAGTGCAAACAAAAATTTTAGTTTATCAGGGAGAGTGTCTTTGGAGGGAAGGGAACTGAACTGAGTTTAGAGAGGATTTTTTTTATTTTTTTATTTTTTAAATGTTTAAAAATATATTTTGGATTTATTTCTAAATTTGCTAGTTTTTGTTTAATTCATGATAAAAAAAAGAGCCTTAGGATATCAAAAACTATTTTTTAAAAAGTCAGGGTATTAATTCAAAATTATTAAAAATACAGACTATTAAAAGAAAATTTCACTATAACACGGGATACTAAGGACTTGTTCTTTTGAGTAAAAAATTTAAAAAAATGCAACTCGAGTTACAATTTTATTCGAATTCATGTTCTTTTAAGTTTAAACTCGAGTTTAAACTCGAGTTTAGGATTAAAATTTGAGTTCAAGTTTCCCCTTCAACTCGAGTTCAGAAACTCCAACTCAAATTAATGAACAGTATTTTTTTTATTCTTAAAAATGCTATAACTTTTTCGTTTTAATTCTGATTGAGATGATTTTTTTTTCTATGCGTTGACAACGAAAAGACGAATAAAATTTGACACATATACCCTATTAAAATTTTTTATCAGCATTGAGTTTTTATTAAAATACTATCTAAATACAAATTCAAGTTTTGACTCATTCAAACACAAACTCAAAAAGATTCTTATCTCAAACCATAACTCAAATGTACACAACCAAACACAAACTCAAGTTACAAGTTCGTTTTAATTCTGATTGAGATGATTTTTTTTTCTATGCGTTGACAACGAAAAGACGAATAAAATTTGACACATATACCCTATTAAAATTTTTTATCAGCATTGAGTTTTTATTAAAATACTATCTAAATACAAATTCAAGTTTTGACTCATTCAAACACAAACTCAAAAAGATTCTTATCTCAAACCATAACTCAAATGTACACAACCAAACACAAACTCAAGTTACAAGTTCGTTTTAATTCTGATTGAGATGATTTTTTTTTCTATGCGTTGACAACGAAAAGACGAATAAAATTTGACACATATACCCTATTAAAATTTTTTATCAGCATTGAGTTTTTATTAAAATACTATCTAAATACAAATTCAAGTTTTGACTCATTCAAACACAAACTCAAAAAGATTCTTATCTCAAACCATAACTCAAATGTACACAACCAAACACAAACTCAAGTTACAAGTTCAACTCAAATTATAACTCAAATTCAACTCAAGAATTATACTCAAGTTAAACTCTAAAAGAACAAGCTCTAAAATTTTCGGATATAGATTAAAAAAAAATTTTGACACTCCAAGCTTTTATTAAGACACCCTAACATTTAAAATTTAAAATTTCTTTTTAAAATTAAAATCCTAGTTCCATAAATATCTTTATGTACAGCACATACTTTTCTTTATCTCATTCTAAGATTTACTTCCTTTTATTTCTAAGTGAAATTAGATTTGTTTCCATTTAAACGATTTTTTTTAACTTGAATACTTTTTTTTTTTCCTTTTCTCACCTTTTTGCTATTTTACTTCTAAGATTTTAAAATTACTTTTTTTTCAAATTACTTAATCACGTATAGCTTCTTTAATTATCATCTTCGTTAAAAAAATAAAAAAATATATATATAAAAGGGAAGAAGAGCATACAAACAACCTATATTGAAGGATGGGAAATCACCTTCTTTAAAATACAATAAAATCAAAACGAAAAATGCTAATGTCACTTTTTATGTCACTTTTTTTTGTCACTTTCTGTGTTTAACACGTGAATTTTATTATCTCATTTTCTATTTAAATAATGATATATCATATTAGTAGAGTTCACATGTCAAATAATAAATGTTGAAAATAATAAAAAAAGTGATGAAAGAAATGACACTAACACTTCTCAACCAAAACACATGACATAAACACCTAAACAGCAAAACCAACCGCTCAGACAAACATTAAAAACTAAGAGCTTGTTCGGTAGCATTTTTAAGTTATATATAGTAATTTGAGTGTAGATTTTGAGTTGAATTTCAGTTATAACTTGAGTTAAAATTGTAACTTGAGTTTGTATTTAGATATGCACATTTAAGTTATGGTTTGAATTGAGAATCTATTTGGTGGGTCAAAACTTGAATTTGTATTTATATAGTATTTTAATAAAAACTCAATGGTGATAGAAAATTTTAATAGGGTATATGGGTTGGGTTTTATTCATCTTTTCGTTGTGAACGCATAGAAAAAAAATAATCTCAATCAGAATTAAAACAAAAAAGTTATGGTGTTTTTAAGAATAGAAAATATAATAATGTTCATTAACTTAAATTTGAGTTTAAGAACTTGAGTTGGAAGGAGAACTTGAACTTATGGCTTGTTCGGTTGCATTTTTAACTTATGGCGACTTGAATGTAGATCTTGAGTTGAATTTTAGTTATAATTTGAGTTGAAGTTGTAACTTGAGTTTGTGTTTGGATGTGCACATTTGAATTATGGTTTGAATTGAGAATCTATTTGAGTTTGTGTTTGGGTGGGTCAAAACTTGAATTTGTATTTAGATAGTATTTTAATAAAAACTCAATGGTGATAGAAAATTTTAATAGGGTATATGGGTGGGATTTTATTTCTCTTTTCATTATGAACGCATAGAAAAAAATCATCTCAATCGGAATTAAAACGAAAAATTATGGCGTTTTTAAGAATAGAAAATATATTGTTCATTAACTTGAATTTGAGTTTAAGAACTTAACTTAAAGGGAGAACTTGAACTCCG